CATAGTTGATGTTCAGTTTCAGGACTCATGATGAGTGCACCTTGGTGTATCATGTTCAGGAGCAGGATCGTGTGCAGCATGTTCACCGCGCATTTGCTTGCCGTGCCAAGTTATTCCTCCTCCTGCCACCCCCCCCCGCCCCCAGGTCGCGACCGTGGACGTGGGCGCCAGCAGGGCGCCAGCCAGCATGCAGTCTGCAAGTTGGCTTGGCCGCCGCCGTCGCTGCGGCCTCTCTGGTGTATCACGTTCAGGAGCAGAACCAATTGTGCAGCATGTTCACCGCGCGGCTTTGCTTGCCCTAGCCCACCACCACCAACACCCTTGGGCCCTACTCTAGCCCTACCTACCATACCAGCCTGCTACCAAGCATGTATTCAGCAGGTAGCCTGCATGACACCCGCCTGCTCCGCAGCTATCGCAGAGTTTACCAACCGGTGGGCGCCCACCCAAGCAAGTACTTTGCAAGTACTTCGCATTTTCCAACAGGTACTTAGCAGGTACTTAGCAGGTACTTCGCAGGTACTTCGCAGGTACCCCGCAGGCGCCGCAGGTACTTCGCAGGTATTTCGCAGGTACTTCGCATGTGCCGCAGGTACCCAGCAGGTACTTCGCAAGTACTTCGCAGGTACCCCGCAGCAGGTACCGCGCAGGTACCCAGCAGGTACTTCGCAGGTACTTTTCAGGTACCGCAGGTACTTAGCAGGTACTTCGCAGGTACCCCGCAGGCGCCGCAGGTACTTCGCAGGTACTTCGCAGGTACTTCGCAGGTGCTTCGCATTCGCCGCAGGTACCCGACAGGTACTTCGCAGGTACCTTGCTGGCGCCGCCAGTACCCAGCAGGTACCCAGCAAGTACTTATCAGGTAATTCGCAAGTATCCAGCAGGTACTTAACAGGTGTCTGTTTTGCGTCACATGCGCGCTCACAATCTACCCCCCCGAACCCCCCAACCCTACCTCGGCGCCAGTGGGGAGGTGGGGTGGCCCGTCTCCAGCCCAGGCCGCCTGCGGCTGCAAGTAATGCAGCATGGGGCACCATTGCCTGTGGCGCAGGGGGGGGCTGTGCCTGGCTGCCACCGTCCTACTTGAGGAGGCCAAGCCAATTCGGCTGGCCGCTGGCGACCTTGCCCTCGTCGGCGCACGGGGCATTGGTGAGGCAGCACGTCAGATCGGGCGCGGCCCCTGGTCGGCGGGCGACGCAGCTGGGGGCGCTGGGACGGGAACGCGAGCAATGTCCCGACATTATTGTTTTCATGGGGGCCGATGGCCGATCCGCTATGAGGGGTGTCGATTCGGTCCCCGCTATGAAGGGGTGTCGATTCAGTCCCCGCAGCGAGGGCGGGTCGATTAGATCCCCGCTATGACGGGGGGGGGTCGATGAGGTCCCCGCTATGAGGGAAGGTTATGCCGCCGCTATGAAAAACGGGTGGTCGGTTAGGTCCCCGCTATGAGGGGGACGGGGTCGATTAGGTCTCGCTAGGAGGGGAGTAAGGTTCCCGCTACGGAGGGGGGTCGATTAGGTCCACGCTGTGAGAGGGGGGGGGGGGGGTCGATTATGTACCCGCTGTGAAGGGGGGGCGATTGGGTCACCGCTATGAGGGGGTCGATTCGGTCCCCGCCATGAGAGGGGGTCGATTAAGTTAAGTCTCCGCTATGGGGGGGCGATTAAGTCCCCGCTATGGGGGGGTCGATTAAGTCACCGCTACGGGAGGGGGGGGCTTTCGATTGCTTCCCTGATATGCGGGAGAGGGGGGTGTCGATTAGGTTGCGCTATGAGTGGGATCGATTAGGTGCACGCTTTGACGTGGAGGTCGATTAGAAAGGGTGGTCGATCAGGTCCCCGCTATGAGATGGGGGGGGTCGATTAGGTCCCCGCTATGAGGGGGAGGTCGATTAAGTCCCCACCATGAGGGGGGTGCGATTAGGTCACCGCCATAGGGGGGATGGGTCGATTTGGCACCCGCAATGAGGGGGTCGATTAGGTCAACTCCATCGAAGGCTCCAGTGGCACCGCCTGCATGCGTCTCCCCATCCCATGACGGCACGCCCCTCACGCGTCTCGTGGCCCACCGTGCTTTATGGATGGTGCGCCCTAGGCCGCGCCCTGCTTAGCGCCCTGAAGTGGGCGGCCCTGCGTCCTGGGCCCAAGGCCTTGATCCCGAGGCCGTAACCCTAATCATTTAATTCTCTCCCTCTGGCTTCAGCCCGAAGCTTTGAACCGTGACATCAATTTCATAGCCTTGTCCATACTTGGGGCTAACGGCAGGGGCCACTTACGATCACTAGTGCGGTTTTGCGAAGTTGTTCAATGCGCCTCATGCCCCCCGTCGCGGGGGCCGGACGATTTGATTTCCACGGGCTAAACAGGTGCGGTTCTGGCTTAGGGCCTTAGGCGTCTTGGGTGTTTCTGGGCCTTAGGCGTCTTGGGACGTTTTGGGACCTTAGGCGTCCTGGCTTTTGTTGGGCTTAGGCGTCTTGGGGTGTTTTGGGGCCTCAGGGGTCTTGGCTGTATTGGGTCCGTAAGCGTCTCGGGGATTCTTGGTGCTTTACGTGATTGCATTCTTGTCGGTCGTGATGGGGGCACATGCATGGGCGCGCACGTTCAGTCGAATGAACACATGCACAGCATCATTGCACATTGTATACCGTTGCCGTATGTGTCAAGCCATCCGCCTTTCATACTGCTGCCTTCTGTCTCACAGTTGGACTTTCCAGGTCTGTCTTTTTTGCCCGTGGATGGCCGGGGCGCCGAAGATCACTGCGGGCGGAGATGGCTTACATCTTCTTGTGGCTTTGCCAGACAGAGATGAAACATACAGCCACACGTGCGAAGTGAATTTCCCAATTTCAGTGCACTTGGTAGGCGCGAGGCCTGTTTCAGTTTCAGACGAGAGCGGTCTGGTGGTTCCGAGTGGTGAAGGCCTTGCGGCTCCTGTCCATGCAGTTGCAAGGATGGCTTCTGACACCCTGGAGGATTCTGCCCCACAACTTGACGAACATCTAGTCGAGAGCCAATGGAAAGTCGAGGCTCGTGAGATATCCGCGCTTCAGGCAGCCCATGAGATTGGTCAGGCAGGTCCCGTCGAAGTTCCTGCGCCCGTGCCTGCGGCAGCCCGTGAGGGCGATCAGGGAGGCCCCATTGGAATTCCTGTGCCCGTGCTCCTTAATGGGCCGCTGCCTCAGACCCCTTGGCTCCCCAAGTTGAGTCGTCAGCCGCTTGGGTTTCCCTTGGGAGGTTACAGTGTTGCGATCGACATAGCGGACAGCCCTCCCAAGAAGGCCACTGCAGCAGGTGAAGTCACGGAGGGTTCGGGCTCCAATGGTTCTAGGATTGAGCCTCCAGCGCCCCCTCCGAGGCGCCTGGAGGACGGTTTCGATTCCGCTTCTGCTGTGAAGCGGGGCGCGGGCGAAGAAGCGGGAGCACGTGCAACGAAACGCAGGTCGCTCGCGCCGCTCCAGCCCCAGCCTCGCGTTAAGGCACGCGCCCCGCCTCCCGCTGAGTCATCCAATTTTGGTGATGAGGCTCATCCCGCAGCGCAGCCGCTCGTCTCGGATGATTCGGCTCCAGGCCCTTTCGCCATGTGCGGCCAGCAGCTTGAGAACCCTTCCCAAGTCCTTGCCGAGCTGTCGCAGTCCGCTACGCAAGCCTATCACTGAACATAGGCCTTTAAGCTTCCGTGCCAGCAGGGGGAGAGCATGAGGAGGAACACTATAGGAGCTGAGGTGTGAATCATTCAGCGTTATGTTTGAATGCTGGCTGTCTTTGTGCCAAGGAGGACGTACCGTGGAGCTCGAGGTCAGATCTTCAGTTTGATAAGGTCTGAACAGTGAGCTCGAGGTCATACTTTCAATGTGATCAGGCTTTGGGCGCGAAGGCGCCGACGGCCGCGAGGTCTTTGAGCGTGGTGCTTAAGCGCGAAGGCGCCTAAGACCAGGCCTCGCAGTTCGATTGGTTACGCATCGACGTTTGATTGGCCTCACGCAGCGGCGTGAGCGACAACCAGAATACGCCTACCTCCATCAGCGACTCCCCCTCCACCTCCGTCAGCTCTTGGGGCCTCCATTGGCGCTCTCGGGGCCTCCTTCTTGGGGTAGTTGGGCCGTAGGCGTCTTGGGTGTGTAGAAGCCTTAGGCGTCTTGGGTGTCTTGAGGGCGTCGGTTTCTTGGGTGTCGTGTCGATGGGGCCAGAGGGGTCTTGGGACCCGGCCTCGTGCTGGTGTTCTGGGGGCCTTAGGCGTCTTAAGATTATGGTGCCTTTAGGCGTCTAAGGGTGTATTGGGGCCCGATATCAGGCCCAGTGTCTGGAGTCCACTAGGCGTCTTGGTGTGTATTGGGGCCTTAGGCGGTTTGAGGTGGCTTAGGGGCCTAGGCCTCTTGGGCCAGTATTGCGGCAGTAGGGGTCTTTGGGCTCAGGGGCCATGCGAGTAAAGTAACCCTGAGACTAAGGTAACGCTGGGACCTTAGCTACCCAGAACTAGGACAACCCAAAGGGGTGCTGGGAGTAAGGCAATTCCCATACGAAAGTAGCTTCTAGGACTAAGGCAACTCTTGGACTAAAGGGGCCTTGGAGCCAAAATAATCCTGGGCCCAACGCATCCATCCAGGAATTACCGTAGCCCTGGCACTCCTGAGGCAGCTTTAGTGTGGTTGCACTTGAGGCGCCGCTTGAGCATCACTGAAGAGAGCCCGTTTGATGTGTCCCACTTGGTCACGTTGCTGCGAATTCCCTGGCGCATTCGGGCGCCCCCCTGAAACGCCCTTGGTTTCAGATGGGAAGTCCGCCCAGTGCACTGCCCAGCGTTTCTCTCTCACGGGGGCCGTGCTCCACTCACGCCTCGAGCCACTTCCCACTCCAAATGCCTATGCCCTTGCTCTGCTTCGCCTCTCCGTTTATCCGCCGCAAAGTTTGGTTGAGTGATTCGGCTACGGTTTTCGAAGTCAGGTGCCCACTTACACTACGGGGCTACCCAGACACCTGCAGAGCTGCAGAACGCAGCGCGCCATGACTGGGAAGAAGAAGCCAGACCACACGCCAGCTTCCTCGAAGAGACCTACGAAGCAACCGCGCTTGTCTGCTCATGCCCTCGCACGGCACAACGGCAGTGCCATTGGGTCTGCAGGCTCGGCTGTCCCTGCGGCCTCAGTGGCCCCATCCAGGATGAACGCCGTGGCCAAGTGCTTGGATTGTGACGCTGTCCCGTCGGCTACGTCGAAGTTTCCAGCTGGAGTGACTGATGCGTGCTTGCTCCACTGGGAGCTCTACTGCGGCGGCTTCACGACCTACGGCAGCTGGAAAGAGTTCATCTCGCAGAAGGAGAAGGATACCACCATCCAGCAGGCGTGGGACAACGCTGAGGAGTCGAAGAAGAGCGGCGAGAAGCAGTGGCTGCCCACGGAGGTCTTGCAGACCAGGTGCTACTCGTGCGACGTGGCGAAGAGCATGGCGGGCCCCAGTCGGTCCCAGCTGAAGCATATGTTGTCCATCTCTCCCGAGCGCATGGGCGTCAAGATGCAAGATCTCGTGGACGTCAACAACACCCCGTACAAGGGGCTATTGATCCCGAACCCCGCGAGGCCGTTCACGGAGTTCAACTTCACCAAGCGGGTTGGCGTCGACAAGAGTACCAGAGCTATGTCGAGTGGTGACCAGATGTACGAGCAACATGCCGATGTCGTGTCTGAGTACGTCAAGGCCGAGTTGATGAAAGAGAAAGAAGTCAAGGACGCAGCGGTCAAGATGAGGACGTCGCCGTGGGACCTCGCCGACTTAGTCAAGAAGTCTTGCGAGGTGCGTGGGGTTCCTGTTGACCCAGTGAACTGCAGCCCCATGGCTGCTATGCTGATGGGTGAGTTTGGCACCTTGTACGCTGGCGGAGATCGGAAGACTGTCGCCTTGGCCTCTCGCGGGGCTGGACCTCAGGACGTGGCCAACTTGAACGACGTCGCAGAAGCCGACGAGGATGAAGAGTCAGAGCTCGACCCAGAGGAGGTGGCAGAGGCGGAGGAGGCAGGTAGGACAGCCAGGACGCCCAACCTCAATCGCCGCGCTGTGCTGGATATCATGTCGGCCATTGCGATCCCTGTTGCGAAGAAGGTCGCCAGGACTGCTAGGTCTGGCGTGGCCTGCGAAGACGCGGCGAGTGCCATCTCTCCGAGTGCGGTGGGTAAGGGCGGCAGTGCAAGCAAGCGGGTGCCCATTGAAGATGGCTTGCCCGTTACCGATGCAGATAGAGACGACCTCGTGCATAGGAGGATCAGCGCCTACAGCATCGAGAAGATCATGCTCAACGAGAACATGGGCCGCGAGAGGCGTTGGTGCAGCGACTCCCGCGATCTCTTCCAGCGCAAGGGGGACAACAGGGCCGATGCGTTGCAAAAGCACTTGGACCTCGCGAAGCACGCCGAGAACTTGGTTGGCGGCTCCATCTCAGAGATGGACATTGGCATGCTGGAGACCACTGTGAAGGAGCTGCAGGACGGTGGTGTGTTCATCCCAAGCGTTCTGAAGTTCCAGCTGTGGAAAAAAAAAACATTCCGACATCTACTTGGCCGACGCCGTGAAGTCTTACGACGCATCTAAGTTCCTTGCTTCCATCGTGCCCTGGGTCGGGCCAGAGAAGGTTTTTGATGGGAACAAGCCTCAGCTTTGCCTGCTGGGCTGCTCGACCGATGAGAAGATCGGACATTTCGTCTTCACTGCCGTCGTGAAGCTTGGCGAGTCTGGCAAGCAAGGCGTGATGGATATCTCGGACAAGTGTCTCTCATACTGCGCCCTCATCGTGGATCGGGGCGACTGCGATGACTTCGACAAGACGGTGACGGACGTGGAGTTGACTTCGAAGGCCCTCAAAGCGCTGGTGCTCGCTACGTTCGTGCCTGGGTATGCGGACCTGAATCGCATGATTGCCCTGGCCGCCAGCAAGGACAGGACAGATAAGAAGCGCGTACCATACAAAGTTCACCAATCTCTGAAGTTCATGCCGTACTACGATGCGTTGCTGAAGGAGTTCAGTTCGAAACAAAAGTTCACCCAATAATTCCTGGCCAGTCTTCCTGCGAACGAGATGGAGCTCCGCAAGGATGCAGCTGCCGCAGGGAGGAGCGGACTTCTCGGACACATGCTGACCCAGATGGCCAATGTGATCACTCGATGCAGGACGGGAACGTTCGAGCACCTTGTCGAGCTGCTGACAGAGTCACTCGAGGAGTTCATTCGGTCCCTGAAGATCGCGAACCCGAACACCGCCGACGGCGACGCCTACAAGAAGCTCGTGTTGGCAGAGCAATGCCTGAAGCAGGCGCAAGTCGTTCTACCGCAAAACATCGAGATTTGGGAGTCGCACATCAGGGCTGTCGAGACATACATGACCTTGATCGGTAAGGCCGACTACGCGAATACCTTTGTCGAGGTCCTCGGGGGGAATGCCCAGCTGGAGTCGGGGAATCTGTCGATGGACGCTGTGCGGAAGGTCGACCGCGCGCTGAAGGACGCCATCCAGGCGGGCTCGGAGATCGAGGTGCCCGCCATGGACAAGCTCGAGAAATTCATTGAGGCTGACAACAACGAGAGTCCAAATGCTGCGGATGAGGGGAGGAGGTTTGCCGGTGCGGGGGGGGCCCGATGGTCAGGCGGTGAAGGGGGGCTCCAAGGGGCGCGAGTGTGAGCAGCATTAGGTATCTCGTTGAGGTTGCCTTCGGCTACGCCAGGGAGACACCCGATGCAACACCAGAGAGCCTCGATCCGATCCTGCAGCTTGCCACGGCGGTCAAGGACATGCCCGTGACAGAGTCTCGCCAGACATTGTCGGCTTCCCTCGACAGGTTCATCCATGCCATGACGGCATGGAGTGCTACCCTTTCCAGTTTGGCCAAGTTCGAGGCGGGCGGGCCCGACCTTGCTTCGAGGATTTCGGCGGTGAACTCGTTCGTCGAGATCAAAGCGCTGCTGAGTGACCGAGCTCTTCTACTTCATCGGGTCGGCGATGGCCCCGCTCCGTGCAAGGCCATGGGCGCGTTCATCGAGATGCTGGACAAGACGGTGGGTGATCTAAAAGCCGAGTATCTGAAAGGCGTGACGACTGTTATGCAGACAGCTAACGAGAAGCTCCGTGGCAGTGCCGACGGTGGACATGGAGATGAGCGTGCTTCCTGGACCGACAGAATCCCAGAGGGCAAGGCCAACGACTTCGACGTGGTGCGGTCGATCTTCACGGACGCCATCGCGGGGATCGACGGCAACTTATTCTCCATGAAGCTGAATGCCCTCCAGAAGTCCCAGATGGAAGTGCAAGTGGCCTACAATCTCTTTTCAGAGTGTGTCCCAGATGAGCTCTTCAAGGAGCCCAGTCAGACTGTGAGATTGGCGAGTGTCACGAGGGCGACGGCTAAGGCACTGCACAGCTGGGACGCCTACTCCAAGGACCAGAACGACGTCAGGCTGAAGAGGGAGCTCCGCAAGATCTTGAAAACATTGACGGACCACGAGCTCGGTAACATCGTCGGCGGTATGCAGCCTGCTGTGCGGAAGTGGGCGTACGAGAAGGCTGGGATGCATGAGTAGTCAGGTGCACTGTGTACTTGATAGACAGTGGCCGCCAGCAGGCCAAGTCACATTTGAAAACAGAGAACAAGGGGAGGGATGGGACGGGAGGAAACGAAAGGGGAGTGGAGGGAAAGGCAATGGAGCTATGTTGGGAGCTCTTGGGCCATCTTGGAGGCCTCTTGGGGGGCAATCTAGGGCCACCTCGAGATCATCTTAAGCCGCCTTGGGTACATCTTGGGCCGTCTTGGAGACATCTAGCTGCCATCCTGGGCCTTCTTGGGCCTTCCTGGCGTCTTGGAGGCTACCTTGGGCGTCTTGGAGGCCTCTTAGGTCGTCATTGGGCCCCGTATTGAAGCCTCGTGTGCAATCTTTGGGGCCAATTCCACACCCGAGCCCCAGTAGTTTGTGTAGTCGTGCATATTGTGTTGCATTGCGCGGTGCCTTGCCAGTGTCATTCTAGTGCTAACCAATATCCGAACGACTACTTGCAGCGTCATCCTACAGCTGGCCAGTATCCGAACGACTACTTTTCAACTATCTCCATTCGTATCCCATTTTGATCGGAAAATCGGCGACTACTTTTAGGGTACCCATTGCTCCTGGCCCTTGCGGCGCCGATACCGAACAAGTATTTTGCAAGTATCTAGTTTCCTATCTCCGTTTCTATTTAGCAGGTAACTCTAGGGCTTTTTCATCTAATGGGTTCTCCAGAGACATGCATCTCATAAGTGCGGCACGTGGTAGTCTAGGACGGCCTTTCCTCGACGATCTTAGCCGGGGTATTTTGTACCAAGAAACAGTGGGACCATATATCTTGTGTAGCACGCCTGTTACATCCGCTCCCTGTACTCCTGCACCAGCGCGAACACGTCGTCAACAGATCGGTGGTATGAAACGTGTTGTGCGCCAGCGTCGTGACCGTGCACTGTCATTGGAACGCCCGCCCGCTCTTCTGCAATCCCGTAAGCGCGGCATAAATTTACTAGTACGTGGCCTACTCCCTCGATGCAGAGTGCGTTATGCATGCTACACGCGTCAGGGGACTATACCGAGCACAGGGATGCTATAATTTGCTCAACTGGGTCTCGGGGCCGTGCCTTGACCCGTTGGTGCCAACATCGTGTTGTTCAGAGCTTGTATCCTTGGTTCACCTTGTGTGAGGTAGCACAGGGACCCCATTGGGACCAAAGTATGTGTTGGAATGAGCAGGGGTGGGGATCAGTTCTAGTCGATACGCTCAGGCAACTTGAATTGACAAAGATATTTGGGTTCTGTCTGATCAAGGGCGCTTCGTCAGGGCACATCGGAAGGAGGAGGAGGAATGTACGTCTGCACAACAACAGAAGGAACTCGACCGTCGTGCTAAAAGTTTGGCGGTAGTGTTCGAGGATGAAACACGATGGAGGATCAGTGCATATTGGCTATGTATGGAACTGCGGGGGGACAGCCAATGTGTGACTAGATGGTTGACGGGCAGATGGAAGTGCCTGAATGAAGTATATGCACGCACCATCTCCAGTATGCAGAACCAGTTGTATTCTTTAAGTGCGCAGTATAAGATGTGCAGCCCAGAAGCAGGCCGTTATATCTGGAAATGAATATAGCGGGAGGGTAACGAGGATGCGGACCATGAGACACACCTTGCCAGATAATGGCAAACAACAACAGGTGTTCTGTGGGACCACAACATTTCACAACTTATACGTATGGATCATCTTTGTGTACATGCGGTGATGGGGCTCTTTTGATGGCGGTAGATGTGAACTAGGCACATCATGTGGCTGGGTGATTGACATTTTTATCTCCTCTTACTTGCTCCCTTCCTCTTCTCCTCCTGGGCTACCGTCCTGCAGGTGGCAGCCTGGTACTGCTAGGCGTGCCTTTATGCTCCCCTCCCACTGCGCAGTCACTCAGGCTGAACTGGCTGCGTCACAGAGCTTTTTGGCGGGTGTTTCTGATATGTGTACATTTCGGGGTAGATAGTGCACCCGTGATCTTTCAAAGCAGGTCATTCGTAGCTCTGATCGGCAGTGCAGTCATTTCACTTTTTGTCCTTGCGTTTATGTATTTGTGTTTCACGTGCATGGTTTTTCAGTGGTGCTGAGACGGTATTCGCTATATAAGGTTACTGCGTGGTCTCGCATTGCTTTTGTGGTGTTGAGAGGGTGCCGCTTTCAGTGATTACCACTTATTATCGCGTCGCTTTCTGTCCGATCTTGTAGTTTACTTTTCGTTTGATTTACGCTCTTGCTGCAGCTTTGCTCTCAGACTCAGTTCTGAGTTGCTTTGTGTCTCGGTCTGCCTCCGTGGAGGCTCGAGTCGACCGTCCGCAAAACCGCAGAAACCAAGGTTGACGGTTTACCGCCGGCTCCCAGTTCCCAATGCGCGCGCCGGAAACCTCGCCACGAAGCATCCTCACAGCGCTCTCGAAGCTCCTCTCTCGAGAACACGCGGTGCTCCCAGGCAAATTTTCACGGGCTCCGTGAAACGTCTTCCGCGAGCTGGCACGCTCTCCAGGCGTCCCGTCCAGGGCCCCTCTATGCATTCGCGTGTTGAGAGCTCTACGAGGGTCCCGGCGGTAAGGGTCAAGGCCCAAGGGTGATCACAATCCGCATGGCTTTCGGTCGGTGGGTTCTGACGAATCCAACCAAAGGCGTGGTGCGTGTCCTTGCTCTAGGACATTTTGTACCGAAAAGCACCCGCGACGCCGGCGCCCAATTCTCTTCGTCCGGAGTGGGGATTTCAGTACTTTTCACATTCAGTTCTACTCATTGGCTGTTGTTTGTGATTGCTCGTATTCAGTTTTACTCATTGGCTGTTTTTTGTGATTGCCTCGTGTGGTCAAACAGTGGTCCTATGTTCTTATCGTGGTGCATGTCAGAAGCTGGGCAGCTCAGATTGTTCGTCGTGCTCAGGCAGTGCAAGAGAATATCGTCGCTCCAACGAGGTGTGCCATCTCGCTGCAGGATGCGGTCTCTGTGAGAGACAATGTTGCGGAATTGTTTGATTATTTTGTCGCTCCCAAAGGTGCGTGGCCCACGTCGCCTTGCAGAGGGGAGGGGGAGCTATTGCAGCCAGCGTACCTCTCAGTAGGTCTCCAAATGTGTAACGCAGTCACGGGGTGCTCCAGTAGCCTCGTGTACGGATGTTGTCGCGTGTCCGAAGGAGTCGGAGGCGTCGGAGGAGGAGGAGGAGGAAAGGAACGTTGTCCTGGATGAGGCTGCTCAGTTGCTTGGAAATGGTCAGGGGGGCAAGATCAGGAGTTTTCCTAAATGTGTAACTTTGCCACGGATTGCTGCAGTATCCTTGGGTGCTTCTAGTTCGGAGGTCCTTCTGGAGAAGGAGAAGATCAAGAGTTCTTCCAAATGTGCTACGCAGTCGCGGATTGCTTCGGCATCTTGGGATGTTTCAATGTCGGAGGCTCGGGGGAAAGAGAAGATCAGGAGTATTACCACATGTGCTACACAGTCGCGCATTGCTTCAGTATCCTGGGATGGTTAAAGTTTGGATGCCCCGAGGCGGGCTAGACATGTACGATGTGATGTAGCTGTCACCCAGGGGGGCAGTAAACAGGCAAAGCGAAGTGAGACGGTCTTTCGTGGCCTGTCTCGCGATGGGGTGCCAGAGCTACACTTGAAGGGTTGCAGGGGTGTTGTGCATCGTGATCGTATTCCATCGTCGTCATCGTCGTCTGTTCCATCTGTTCCATCGTCGGGAGCTCCGTCACCATATGTTTCAGCGAAGCGGGGGTCTGAGTTCAAAGGTTCGTCGTCATGTGGAAGAAATGCCCGCAAAGGCAAAGGCAAAGGCAATGGCGCCAACATAGGAGGACAGGAGTTTGACGAAGTGGGTAGATTTGGCAGGGCGTTGGCGGACTTTGAACGAAGGTGTGGATTTGTTGCTTAATTCACATCCCAAGGTGCACGTTATTCAATCGGATTTGAGACGCTGTGAATAAGTGATTGTTGCGCGGGTCATAAGGCCGACAAGCCACGAAGAAGCGTGCCCGTAAAAGTTTGGAAAGGTGCGGGGGCGCTATATGTACACTTCCTATAGACCATGCACGGCGCAAAACGGCCTGCCCCCATATTGACTACACTTACAGGGAAAGGAACATGCGTGCATATGTACTCACTCACACGGCCCGCTGTGGGCCACCAGTGTATCGGGACAGGATGTGGCCGTGCGCCCCACAGCTAGATCAGGTGTTTCGCGCGTGTGCCGTCAGAGATGCATTTCACTCCGACAGTTACTTTGCTTCGCCTCGAGCGCAGTTCAGAATTCATGGAACTTGATTATCTTTGCGATATCCAACCCGTATGTTTATGCAACTGTCGATGAGGCAACTCACGTTTGCATGGCCACCGCGCTGCCAGGTTCACCTGGCACCTTCGTATATTGAAGTATCGCTTGGGCCATGATGGCTCTACGGCCCGCGCTGGGCCACCAGTGTATCGGGACAGGATAGGGCCGTGCGCCCCACAGTTTCATCAGGTGTTTCGTGCGTGTGCCATCAGAGCTGGATTCGATGGTTGTGTCTCTTTCGGCGTCGAGCATGCGACTCTTGTCTTACCGCGGGTTGTTCAAGCGTATTTCGGATTTGAGTTGGTGTGAATAAGTGATTGTTGCTCACTCATGCCATGCTTGTGTGTGTGTGTGGCGTGCGTGCGTGCTTGGCTTCACATCCTCATGAGAATTTAGACTTTCGCCTTCCTGGTCGTTGGATCGGTGAGGTTTCGCCTGCTCCCGATACGTCCGCCTTCTGCTATCGACTCGGCTGGAAAGCCTGCGCAGTCGACCGCAAAGACCGCAAAACCTGGATGACGGTTCACCGCCGCTTCCCAGTAATTGACAGGAGAGAGAAGGAGGGCAAAGGCAGGACTGAGGAAGAGGAGACGGATAATAAGGAGCTACTGAGGCAGATGCAGAAAGAAAGACAAAAGGTCCATAGCAGCACTTTTGGGACATGTCCATGGAGATGCGAAGAAACGATAAAACAA